TACACTGCGCACTTTCTCGAAATCGCTTGCTGATTCTCCGCGACGATGGATTATTGTCGAGACACTTATTTTCTTGGCTGGTGTCAGTTTGACAATTTGTTCTGCCAGGGACTCAAGTTTTGCAACAATTTCATCTGCTTCGTGTGAAGTGACATCGTTCGAACCTAGATGAAGGATTACTTCTTTAGCATTTTGCTGAATAGCTTGCTCACAAACAATGTCACAAACATCTCCAATACGAGCGCCTCTGAATGTTTTGCACTTAACGGGTCTTCTTGATAGCCTCGAGGGGTTGATGTCCTTTACCATGGAATCACCAACAATCAAAACATCGGTTGAATGGGCATTCTGCGTGACCATTGATGCTCTCAGGAGCTGATGTTTTGCTTTGTAGTCTCGTAATTGATCATCTATTGTAAGGCTATTAGGTTCATTACAATGCTGATCTTTCTCCGTGCTTGCGTCGGAATCGATTTGAGCTTCATCTGTTGTCGTCTGATGAGCTGATTTAGAGCCTTTTGTTGACGAGATGATGCCATTGACGGTTTCATTCAATATCTGGAGTTGGTTTTGAACAGATTCCAAAGTAGTTGTGATTGTACCACAGGTCTTGCAATTGTTTTCATTCTGATTATCTTCAATCCTCCCTTCTCCTGTTTGAGTAGATTTGTTTGGGACGCCTTGGCGGGAAAATTGGGGGTTACCCGCGCCATCTTGGGCCTGTGTGTCACTTGGTACCGGGTATTCATATATGGTAACAAAATGCTCACAGATAAACTTGTCAAGATGAGGTAAAATATGACACAATAAATCTGTAACATAGTCTATACGGTTTTCTCCACCGTGTTTTCCATAGCGTTCGTATGAAATGTGAAGATGTTGTATGGCTATACGTAGACCAGCAGTAGTCATATATTTCGGAAGTTTGTAACGAAAACTCTCAGCTCCTGGATTGCCAGAGTGGGTATTCGACTTTAATTGTGTCATTGCGCCCTACAGTGTTGATATACTAGTACATATAAGTCTCTCGATAAAAGTCTTTTAAGAAAATACAGTGATCACAATGTACATGCATATATAAGCTCACCCCATCATTAAATGTCACAGGTGGGACCAAGACTCTAGTCCGGCATCAAACTGTCTATATGCACCGGGTTCACAACATCACAAATTGCACAAGAAAACACAAAATAACAGTAGCACATCTGCATCCAAGTTAATTTGGCGTTTCCACGGCGATATTTCACTTTGCGAAACAATACAACAGTATAAATAGACGGAATATAGCAGAATATAGCAGGAGTATAACAGACGTGCGTGCGTCGTTTAAGAATTCGGTCATATGATGATATACTTTTTCGTAGCTTGATGTGACGAGGTGTCTCTATCCAGATATCTGTTGATAGTATTATAGAATATAGAAGCCTGAAATGACCTTCTACTTGTAACCGACAAGTCACCGCATTAAAATTAAATTGCAAATAGTGTTCAACAACACGATGATGGATGAAACTTTCTAATATTCGAAGATATATGACCTTCAGACCATATTGTTTTATTACTTTTTTATTCAATCAATCAACGTCAAAGAATTGATTCATCATCGCTCTTCAATTCATTATTTCACCTTTTAATGTACTTGTATTCTTATGAATCACGAAATAACACTGAATTGGATTATTCAATGTTTGTTTTGATTAATTTCCTCCCCGTTCCTTCTCCCTGTTTAATACTGATAGAATTTTCGATTTTTCTTAATCAAGGCAAAATATTATTTTCATAGTTTCTTTATGCAAGACAGGAAGAGAGAGAGAGAATATGTTAAGTGAGAATTATCGAGTACAACTACGAAGTGCATCCTTTTCAATATTATTCAATCAGCTAAAATATTCAGAATCTGAATATGATAAATCCACATAATACACCAACGCTAAATGAAAATGCACTGACAGGCATCAGTTAAAATCATGAATTCTCTGTGACTGGCTTAGCACTTGTTTCTGAGGGACCAGTCACTGAAGATCGATAATTTTACATGTGCCTCGAAAAAACAGCTCAAATACAGTACATTTGATTGACATCCTTCATCAATAAATGAAAATACTAAGCATGTATTAGCTATGAAGGTGTAAAAATCAAGTATCAATTCACACCTTTATACAAAATACACACAAACACACACGCTCACACACACACGCACACACACACACATACACACACACACACACACACACACGCATACATGCAACGACATAACAAACAAAAAAGCCCAATACAAACAAACAAAGCAAAACAAAACAACACAATAAACAACAGTTTAAAGAAAACAAAAGTACCCTGAGTATAATAATTTGGTCAGGCGACATTCTGGCTCTGGGTTAGGGATAAGTCTCCCATTTGTCGAGTACAAAAATGCCACAAATTTTTTTGTTTTTTCTCTTAGGCGCTTTCTCGCTTTGGAGACTTGGGACATTACTCACAATATATTGTGGATAGCACATTACGAATCCTCTAAACAGAGAAGACACTCCCGAGTCTTTAATCTTTTAAAAAAAATTGTTGCCATTCAGAGTGTTGGAAGATGTGGGAAAGTTGTCCCACGCTTCGTCATAATAGTGCACATACATGTACCTTTTAGTGATTAAAACTATCAAAAATTCATAACTTTCTAACTTTTTGTCCGATTTCCTTTAAAACTTTCACCAGTCTGCTTCTCTGGTTTTTCTGCTCTTCCTTGAGTCTAGAATAGTTTGCTGTTAGGGTAGGATTTCTCTTTAAAAGTTCGTACTTCTTTCTGAATAGCAGTCCATGCACTTAAACTTGATGCTTCCTGATGCATATAACATGTTACGTGTTTCTATTTTTAGAATGAAATTATGCCCGCTTTGATTTTCTTTTTTCTTCCGTTTTGGCTTGACTGTTGAAATATAGCTAATGAACCAACATGAACAAAAAAATGTGATGTTTTTGTGTTTACTAAAATGAATGACCTTGCACCATTACGACGTATTGTCGGAGTCAATATGTTTATGCTATTATTTTTCTCTGGATTGTTTATCCTTCAGTAGATTGGTTGTTTGAACCAGTGAATTAAAAGGAAACGCAACAAAAAAACACTTAAAGATAAACTTGAGTACTGGTAATGCGATTGCATTGTGAAAGAAAAGGTGTGGAATGGATCAAAAAAAGTTTATCATATAGCATGTAAGTAATGGTGTGTAATGCAAATTTGGCAGAGTGTTGGTAAAGTAACAATCACTTACACAGAAAGATGTATATGGGACAACACCCATGGCGTCGGGGCTAATACTACCCTGATTTCCTTATCTTTCTACGCACATGACATTTATTTCTAATTGTTTGGCACATTCAGAGTAAGTTTTTGTTAGGTTCTGTGAGAATTTATTTTCTATAATTCCCAGAACTCATGTTTATCTTGAAACTTCCGTAGTATTTCATTCACAGTCTGTCTTATGACATATAATACTAAAGGGTGACAGGAATGATCAGTCTCTAGGCACTTCACAAAGTTGCAGGCATTAATTCATTGCAATTCGGAGGTATCTAAATGTCTAAATGAATAAGTTGGCAACATCGCTCTTACTCAACACAGTCTTCCATTGGCTTAAAAATTGTAGTAATTCATGCAAATTTTGCTCATTTACATTTTGAATTTCAGAACATTCTAAATAAACAAAACTATAAATTAAATATAACGGTGACACTAAACTGATGTGGGTTCATTCTAGATATCTTACAAAAATGGCATGGTCTGGGTATTATTTGACAATATGTCATATTATCAGTGCAGTCGTATTTTAAGAAGAACATTTATATATATTTAATGCAAGTGGTTTGTATAAATTTAGCAAAATAACAGGAGTGGGCCTAGGGTTTTTCTTAGGGAGGGTGAGGTGCTCTTTAAAAGTCAGAATTTCGCGGATAAACTTCATTTTGCATGAAATTGTAAAACCCAATTGTTATTGAATACCTGAATCTGGGCAAACGAATTGTATCGGTCTTTGTGCATGGTGTGGTAATTTACTGACGGGATTCGCTGGTATGACTAGCTGTCAGATATTATCGCTTGATAACCTGAAGTACTGTATAGTTTGAAATTGCACATTTAACAAAAAATACCACAAAGAGACTCATTTTCTTTCATCTATGCAACGACAGCCTGCATTCCATAATGCACACGCGGAAGTATTCCTTTCAGGAAGAAGAACAGACTCAATTCTTAAAGGGATCGTTTAACAATATTAAATCTGAGATGCACGGCCCTATGTGTTATTAGTGTCTGTGGTAATGATGTCGCCCGGAGAACTCTCTCTCTCTCTCTTTCAATGTTTTGAAAACCCTTCACTATCATTCTCATTTCTCTCTCTCTTTCTCTAATATACACCCACTCACACGCACACGCACACATACAACAACATAACAAACAAAAAAGCCCAATGCAAACAAACAAAGCACACAAAAGAACTTTAAAAAATGCATAACTTTCTAACGTTTGCTCCGGTTTCCTTCTGAACTTTCACCAGTCTGCTTCTCTGTTTTTCTGCTCTTCCTAGAGTCTAGAATAGTTTGCTGTTAGGGTAGGATTTCTCTTTAAAATGTCGTACTTCTTTCTGAATAGCAGTCCTGGCAGTTATACTTGATGCTTCGTGATGCATATAACAAATTACGTGTTTCTATTTTTAGGATCGAAACAACTAAACGAAAAGTCATACATTTCTCTCTCTCTCTCTCTCTCTCTCTCTCTGTACAGGGTATTTTATCTCCTTTGTTTTTAAGAAATCCATTAACAAAAATTAATCATGAACTCTCTGATTGGTCAATAATGTGTCATTCCTTCACGAGGGGCGGAGCCTAATAATATTTTCCTCTGCAATGCAATAGCATGTCAATAAAATGACAAATACGCATCCTTATAATAATGCAATGTTTCTAAACTCTTGGGAATAATCACATTGAGGTACTGAAGTAAACGGACTGCATGTGAACAAGGTGAAGCAGCATCATTCTTTTTTCCAAAAGGATTTGACAAAAGTAAATTTCCGCAGTGCCATCCAGTAAAAAGCTCAGGTAAACAAAATCGTTTTAAATATCATAGTATAAAATATACAGTTAACGATTAAATTATTCATATCCTTATTGAGTGTTTTATAATTTTCTTTTAGTATGTGTAAAATTGATTTGTCCCGATTTATGTTTCTTGATAATTTACATATAAATGTATAAGGCCCTAATTCAACCAGTCCACAGTTAAGAAAAACACACACAAATAAACATACAATTTACAATTGGTATGTGTAATTTCTGTTTACATTTTGTTTTTTGTCTCTCTATATATATATAATATAGTTTGCTGAATAGTTTGCTGTTAGGGTAGGATTTCTGTTTAAAAGTTCGTACTGCTTTCTGAATAGCAGTCCGGGCGCTTACGTGATGCTTCCTGATGCATATAACAAGTTACGTGTTTCTATTTTTAGGATCAAATTATGCCCGCATTGATTTTCTTACTTTTTCCGCTTTGGCTTGACTGTTGATATGAAGCTTATAAACCAACATGAACAAAATACTGTGATGTTTCTGTGTTTACTAAAATGAATGACCTTGCACCATTACGACGTAATGTCTGAGTCAATATGTTTATGGTAATGATGTCGCCCGAAGAACACTCTCTCTCTCTCTTTCAATGTTTGTTTTACCCTTCACTGTCATTCTCTCTCTCTCTCTTTCTCTAATAGACACTCACACGCACACACACGCGCGCACACGCACACACACACACACGCACACATACAAAAACATAACAATCTAAAAGCCCAATGTAAACAAACAAACAAAGCACACAAAAAACAATAAACAACAAAATCAAAAAGACAAAAGTACCCCGACTTTAATAATTTGGTCAGGCGACAATCTGGCTTTGGGGTTAAGGAAAGACTCCCATTTGTGGAGTACAAAACTGCCACAAATTTCTGTTTTTCTCTTAGGTGCTTTCTCGCTTGGGACATTACTAAAAAATATATTGTGGAAAGCATATTACGAATGTCCTCTAAACAGAAAAGACACTCCCTAGTCTTTCATCTTTAAAACAAAAATTGTTTCCATTATGTGTGTTGGAAGATGTGGGAAATTTGTCCGGCGCTTTGTCATATAGTGCCCATTCCTTTTAGTGATTAAAACTTTCAAAAATTCATAACTTTCTAACTTTTTGTCCGATTTCCTTAAAAAACTTTTACCAGTCTGCTTCTGTGGCTTTTTCTGCTCTTCTTTTAGTCTACAATAGTTTGCAGTTAGGGTAGGATTTCTTTTTAAAAGTTCGTACTGCTTTCTGAATAGCAGTCCTGGCGCTAATACGTGATGCTTCCTGATGCATATAACAAGCTTCGTGTTTCTATTTTTAGGATCAAATTATGCCCGCTTTGATTTTCTTCCTTCTTCCGTTTTGGCTTGACTGTTGATATGAAGCTAATAAACCAATATGAAAAAGATACTGTGATGTTTCTGTGTTTACTAAAATGAATGACCTTGCACCATTTCGACTTATTGCCTGAGTCAATATGTTTATGGTAATGATGTCGCCCGAATTCTCTCTCTCTCTCTCTCTCTCTTTCAATTTTTGTATAACCCTTCACTATCATTCTTTCTCTCTCTCTCTCTCTCTCTCTCTCTCTCTCTATCTTTCTCTCATATACACTCACACTCGCACGCACACGCTCGTGGGCACACACACAAACACGCACACATGTATACAACAACATAACAAACAAAAAAGTCCAATGCAAACAAGCTTAAACAAAGCATACAAAAAACTTTCAAAAATTCATAACTTTCTAACTTTTTGTCCGATTACCTTCTAAACTTTCACCAGTCTGCTTCTGTGGATTTTCTGCTCTTCTTTAAGTCTAGAATAGTTTGCTGTTAGAGTAGGATTTCTCTTATTTCTTAATAGCAGTCCAGGCGCTTATACTTGATGTTTCCTGATGCAAATAACAGGTTACGTGTTTCCTCGAAATAACTAAACGAAACATTATACAACTTTCATAGGAAAACAATCGTTTCCGGTTTTCTCTCTCTCTCTTTCTCTCTCTCTCTCTCTCTCTCTCTCTCTCTCTACTCAGGGTATTTTTTTTATCTCCTTTGTTTTAAGAAATCCATTAACAAAAATTAATCATGAACTCTCTGATTGGACAATGATTTGTCATTCCTTTACGAGGGGCGGGGCCTAATAATATTTTCCTCTGCAATGCAATAGTATGTCAATAAAATGACAAATACGCATCCTTATAATAATGCAATGTTTCTAAACTCTTAGAAATAATCACATTGAGGTACTGAAGTGAGCAGACTGCATGTGAACCAGGTGCAGCGGCATCATTCTTTTTTCCAAAAAGCTTTCACAGAAGTAAATTTCCGTAGTGCAGTGCCATCCAGTAAAAAGCTCAGGTAAACAACATCTTTTTATATAACATCATATAATATATACAGTTAACGACTGCATTATACATATCCTTATCGAGTGTTTTATAATTTTCTTTTAGTATGTGTAAAATTGATTTGTCCCGATTTATGTTTCTTGATAATTTACATATAAATGTATAAGGCCCTAATTTAACCTGTCCACCCTTCATTCTTAAGTTAAGTCAAACCCACACAAATAAACATTATATTTACAATGGGTATGAGTATATTGTTTCTATCTCTCTCTATATGATACATAACACTAGTTGAAAATAAATAAATGATTCCGCCATGAAGCTGAATACATGTCTTTGCGACAATTCAAACATTCAGACGTTTCACGGAATGATTTATCTTCAACTGGTTAAACTTGTTCATTTGTTGTTGTTGGGAGTATTCCCAAGCCCACTACTATTTTTTACTACAACATTGTATATGATATGGGTGTATGAATGTGTGTCTCTGTGTGGAGGTGTGTGTCTGTGTGCAATTTGAAAGGAAATTAGGGAATCGTCACATTTTCTTTCGCATTGTATTCGTTTTCGCGAGAGTTGCTAAAACTACGGTTTAATATTTTCGTACATTTATGTATTATATATATATATATATTAATTTTTTTTTTATATGGACAGCGAATGTAGTTGTTCCAAAATTATGACGTAAATTTTAAATCATTTCAACAGTATGACGCATATCATTTAAACAAAATGATGAAATCTTTGAATTTTATCGTGATTTAAAGTTTCAAGTTTGTTTAACTGAAAATATTTAAACGATATATTACGTAATAACCCCAAAAAGCGGCAGCAACTGAATTTTTTCTCCCGATGCTGGCATTAAATAGTCTTATACCACAATATATAGATGTATTTTTAATTTTAATGTTATCATGTATATGCCTATGCATTTCAGCTTATAATACGAGAAGCGCTGCCAACATTCATCTCCCTAAACATAAAACCCGAAGATTTCAATTTGACATTCGATACTCTGGGCCAAATTTTTTGAACACCTTACCATCTATTCTACAAAAATCGCTCTCCTTGCAAACCTTTTCCCGTAAGGCAAAAATGTATTTAATTGCTCGATATATTGATACCCTCTCTTGTATTTATGTGTGAAATGACCTCTTGTGGAATTCAATTCAATGAGATGTTTGTATTTTGATCACTTATGCCTGGATTACATTTGGCCTGCGATTAGTCTACGCGGGAGCCCGTATCCTGCCCGTATCCCCTTTTCCGTGCGGCCTCTGTGCGGAGGCAGGAGGCGGCCGTGAGATTTTCGTACGGATTCATGGGCTCCGCAGCCTTTACGATTTTGTGTCGCGAAAAGTTAAACAAATTTGAAAAAATCGTAAGCCCGTAGCCCATATACATGTCGTAGGTGGCATTGCACACTCCCCGCACGGGCATCGCCCGGAGGCCTCGCACTGATTGTGCAGCAAACATACGATATTTCGGTGAACATGGGGGCACGGCGACTGTACGGTCACCGCGCCTTCTCCGCGCAACCGTACGATTTCCGTGCGGAGGCTGCGGAGACTGCACGGCTACTGCATTCAAATTGCACGATTTCCGTACAATCTACGAGCAGCCTCTGTACGGATTTTCCCCGGCCTGCCCCCGAGGGCCAATACAATAAATGGCACGATGCTCGTAGATAATGTAAACACAAACATCGTAGCCCGTAGCCTCCTACGATGTCTACGAAAAATCGTAGACTTATTTATCGTACGGCGCCCGGGGCAAAAGTAATCCAGTCATTACGTACATGCCTCAGCTGTTGCTAGTACCATATGTATATTCCCAGGACAATGCTGTCGGATAAAGCTGCTGTTTGTTTGATGATTTTGCTTGTTTGTAATGATATGTACCCGCTGTCTATTTTAAAATTGTAGTACTTCGTTATTTTCATTATGTAATCACAGACACATGCACAGCCCAATTGAGGTAACTTTCTCTTTATAAGTGAACATGCCTTCCTATATTTAATTCTCTCCTCATGTTTTTTTTTTCTTCTCTCTGTTCCATTTACTATTTTTGTTCTTTCCTATCAACTTTTGGTTATATAAAATGTAATGTTCATAATAATATCTATAACGTTCTTTCGGTAACTGTGTTAATTTATTATGGGCGTTCCCAACTCAAGCTATGCTTTCCGGGTTTTCGCCTCCTTCCGTATCTGAATTATTTACTGTATACTCTATGTTGAAATAATTGTTACATCATGTATATGTACATTGTGCTTCATAGTGTACTGTTGAGAAAGAAATAAAAGTTAATAAATACAAATACAAATTGCTGCAAACCATGCTGACATGCTGAAAGTTGTAATCACTCTACGTTCAATTGTTAAAATAACACAGTTTTTATAACAACATCCCCAAATAGGTGTAAAAAGAATGCCGTTATCATTATGGAAGGATACTGTATTATGCCAACCTTTTTAATTGTGCTTTTTACATTATTTCATTATGCTTGATCTGACAAATAATAATCATACAATTTTGTCGATTTCTTTTGGATGATATACCGTTATTCATTATCTTGCACTGTGACGGCTTACATTATAATCATGGGGGCAAAGGTAAATACATAGATGTTTATTGATAA